AGCAAGGAAGTTTAGCATACCAGGTTAAGTAGTTCAATGAGAAAGGGGAGCCAAAGAAAATTATTACAGAGATAACTGTCAAATGATATAGACAGAAAACTCAAGATATATCCATTGTCTCTCTCCAGAAGTATCCATTCTTGCAAATCTATCTGAATAAAAATTCTCCTCATTCAAGTTTCAATCCAAATGCAACTGGTCAGAGGAGACGGCATGAAATAGTTTCTTTGACTCCTAAAAGGAGGTAAAGGATGAAAAACAGAAACAAATACTACATCACCTAGTTTATGTGAAGCCCTGGATTTGATCCCAGCACATAAAACAAACAAAAATGTGCAGGAGGCACAAATTATAAAGTCAAGCCAGGCAATTCATGAGCTAGGAAATTATGTTTTTTCTTGTGTTTCCTTTGATTAAAGTAATATTTGATCAAAAATACAAAGCAAGGAAAATTTAATATTTACAGTTTCAGTATTCATATTACATTCAAATTCTAATGTGGTTCAGTCAGATGCACACAAAGAGACTCTCAAAAACTACTGATTGTTTTGCTGATTTAATTAGTAGAAACTCAAACCTTGTTATTTTAGGACAAGATGTTTTACATCAGTGTTTTTCAGCTCCTGTTGTACAGCATCCAAAGAGTCAAAAAAGTACTAATACCCAGGGCCATGTAAGTGAAGGAATGGGAGGCTGTGGAAGTCTGGCCCAGTCATTAACATTCTTCAGAGCTCCCCAGTTGATTCTATGTTCCTCCAGAGCAGAGAACCACTGTACTTCTAGGGTTAGAATCATGTCATGCTATAATTAATAACATGTATACCTTCCTAAAGCTAAAAATAGCTCCAAGCACAATTCAGAGACCTGGGGAAAGTATGAGAAAACAGACTTTTTATAAAATGACCAGAGATCCCATTATTTCATGAGAATTAGAAGGCACCTTTAGAAATCACCTAATATAAGTCCCTTATTTTATAGATGATGAAATTAAGAGAAAGAGGACCCCTAACTGCACCTGATTCACACTAGTAGTTCTTGTTGATTCTGGCTTAGAATCCACATTTCTATGGTTTATGAAAATACATAGTAGGGATGGAGAGATGGCTCAGTGGGCTGGGTTCCAGCACCCATGTCAGATGGCTCACAACTGCCTCTAACTTCAGCTCCATGGGATCTTGATACCCTCTGGCCTCCTTGGACATTGCACTCATGATCACAACACCCACCCCCTGACAATACACATACATAATTTTTTTAAAATTTAATGGAATTTTTAAGCATTTCATACAGAGCATCTTAATCATCTTTATACCCCTTTCCCCATTGGCCCCCTCCCATAGCCCACCCCCCTCACTGTAATTCATACATTTTGTCATTTGTGTTAAGGCCTATCATGTCAAGTTAGTGTCCCCAGATGTCCCTCAGTTTAAGTTCATCCACTGGGATCTAGTCAGCCTATTTAGAGCCCCTTCCTTTAAGAAGATCAGCTCTTCTTCACCCAGCAGTAATCAGCTGTCAATAGTTCTTTGGCTAAGATTGCTGCCCATTTCCACAGTTCTGTGCTAGTATTTATTTATTTAATTAATTTATTTTGGTGTTTTTGAGACAGGGTCTCCCTGTAGTCCCAGCTGGCCTGGAACTTGAGACCAGGCTGGCCTCGAACTCACAGAGATCCACCTGCCTCTGCCTCCCAAGTGCTGGGATTAAAGGCATATGCCACCATACCCATCTTAGTTCTTATTTACTTATTTATTTTATTTATTTGTATTTTTGTCTTTTTGAGACAGGGTCTTCCTGTAGCTCCAAGCTGGCCTGGAATGCCCAATGTAGACCAGGGTGGCCTTGAACTCACAAAGATCCATGTGCTGGGTTTTTGTCTGCTTGAGTTTGTATGGGTCTTTTATAAAATTAAAAAATCTTTGTATTTTCTTTCTCCTTACAAAGCACATTTAAAACCTCATCTTACAAAGAAACTTTATTGTAATGATGGTCCCATAATCTTTTATAAAAAACAAGTAGAACTAGGCACCATGACACAGACCTATATCCCAGCACTTTGTAGGTGAAGGCAGGAGGATCAGGAGTTCAAGGTCATTCTTAGTTATATGTGACTCTAAGCTACACCAGGCCCTGTTTCTAAAACAAACAAACAAACAAACAAAAAACCCCAAAAACAAAAAACAAACCCCAGCATAACAAAACCAAGAAAAAAACAGCAAAAAACAAACCAAGAAATCCTCCCAACCCAACCCAACCAAGGACAACGAAAAGCACAAGCAGAGCTTAGGAGGAGGCCCTTCGGTTTCACTCCTGAAGAACTCTAGCACACATAGGACAGTGGTCCCTGCTCTGTTCTGCGAAACAGAGTCCATTGCATGCTACAAGGGGTTTTAAGAAAGAAAAAAAAAAACGTGTTCCTAACTGTAGATAAGAACTAAAATGGAAAGAGATTCTTTACTAAACCATTTTTCACAGTTTATTTTGTTATCCTAATAGAACTAAAATATCTCCGATGTGAGCAGATATAATGCCTCAAACTTACTTGGCCTTAAAACCCTTCTTCAGCTCAGGCCAGTGGCTCCATATTTTCTGAAGCACATGATAGCAAAGTATGATATAAAGATTCCTAGGATAAAGGAATACATTTCCTGGAATACTCATTTAGGCCAAAGTGACTTTAATTTGGATTATAGTTTAAAATTTCTGATAGCCAAAAAGAGGATGCTTTAAAATAGTTTATAATTTTTATTTTATTTATGTGTCTGAGTGTATTGCCTGCATGTATGTTGTGCAGTGTCCGAGGAAGTCAGAAGAGGGTGTAGGATCCCCTGGAACTGGAGTTATAGATGACTGTTAACTGCCATGTAGGTGCTGGGATTCGAACTCAGGGAATGCTTTAAATATGAATATGTGACTTCAACAACCTAAAAATTTTTTTTAAATGTTCATTTGTAATTTATTAGAGCATAAGTAGACTACCCTGAAAATGAGGCAATGCTGCATGGACACTATTACCCCGATACGATATTATCATTTTTATATATATCCTATTTTTGTATTCTATATAACTATAATTATAGTATGTTTCTACTGTGGCATAATTTACTCATATTCACTAAGTATTCAGTGCTGTAGCCTTTATAGAGTTTTGCTTTCCCATGGTTTCAGTTATCTACACTTAACTAGTTATCTTAGTTTCAACTGAGCTCCAAAAATATTAAATAGAAAATTCCAAATGTGTATTTTTTAAGTTGCACACTGTCCTGAATAGTTTGATAAAATCCCATGCCCTCCCTGACTGTTCTACCCTGGATGTGATTCATCACTTTTTCTAACATACCCATGCTGAACTGCTTCCTGACCCTTAGTAGCCTTCCCTGCTATCCAATAGACTGCCTCAGTATTGCAGTGCTAGTGTTCAGTTACCTTTTATTTTACATAATAATGGCCACAAAGTGCAAAAGTTGCAGCCCTGGCATTTTAATTGTGCCAAAGCAAAGCCATGAAGTGATTCCTTTAAATGAAAGGGTGTAAGTTCTCAGTTGTGAGGTTGCTAGGATCTATAGTAAAAATGACTCTTTTATCTATGAAATTGTGAAGAAGGAAAAGAAACTTGAAGCCAGGCATGGTGGTAGAGATGCATGTACAAATCTAGAGCCTGTTTTAAAAAGAAAGGAGGGGAACAGAAAGGAGGGAGGCATGGAGGGAAAGACGAAGCTATTTTGTGCTAGTTTTGTTATCACACCTCCAATTGCAAGTATTCTAAGTGCTTAGTCATTTGCCTCACTTAATTTTATTAGGGAGGCACTGTATCATCTTTTGTCACCACAAAAAGGAGACTGAGTATAGTACACTAAGGCATTTTTAGAGTGAAACACTACATTCACATAACTTTTATTACATTGCAGTATTATGATTGTTCTATTTTATTATTAGATTTTATTCTATTCTATTGTGCCTAATTTATGAACTAAATTTTACCTTAGGTATGTATGTACAAGAAAAACAATAGTATATAAAATTTATTCTATCCTCCATTTCAGGCATTCATTGATGATTCTGGAATTCATCTTCCATGGAAAATGAGGGACCACCTTATGCTTGGCACATGGATTAATCCCAGCACTCGGGAGGTGGAAACAGGTGGATCTCTGTGAGATCCTGGCCAGCCTAGTGTACATAATGAGCTCCAAGCCAGCTGAGGCTACAAGACCCTGTCTTAAAAAAATACCAAAAGCAATAAAACAAAACAATAAACCAGAGAGCTGGAGAGATGGCTCAGAAGTTAAGAGCACTTGCAGAGGACCAGGGTCCAGTTCCTAGTACCCACCTGGCAGCACCTGGCAGCACAGCTGTCTGAAACTCCAGTTCCAGTGGACCCAACGCCCTCTTCTGGACTCCATGGGTACCAGGCACACATGGTAAAAATACATACATGCAAAAAGAAACTTTTTAAAAATACATACTTTGTAAAAAGAAACTTTTTAAAAAGTACCATTTTGAACCAATAATTTAAAGAAGTTTTTACAAAGATGGTAGAATGATGACAACTTCCCTAGTGGGCATTTTAAACAGCAGTTCCTTTAAAAAGTACACACTATTTGATCTATTATTTCCACTACAAGGACTATAACTTAAGGAAATAAGATGCATTAAAGGATTTTCACAGTAACAGTAATTATAAAAGTGGTGGGAGGACAGGAAACAAATATCCAATAATATGTTAAACTAGGGTATATTCCATTTATTAGAAATGATAGTGATTTCTTAATGAAAAAAAATCAGGTACATGTGGTTGGTACTATTTAATCCCACAATAAACCTTTTCAATAGGTTATTATTCATTCCATTTTTTGCAAATGAGGCAGTTGAAACAATGGATTTAACCTAATCGAGGTGACAGGATTAGTCTGTGCTTGCTCTTTCGGCTTTTCTAAGAGCAGGAGCTCACCCTTTAGCCCATCAGATAGCAAGTTTCCGGTGTGGGCGCAACGTCACTATTACGCGCCGGAAGTGCGCTATGGCGAGCGGGGACGGTCGGAACGCGGGCGGTGCAGGTGGGGCCTGCGAGTGGCGTTCGCTGCAGCGAGAGGTTCATTAAGTCTCTAGCTAGTGGCTGCTGCCATGACTACCCAGGGGGGCCTGGTGGCCAACCGAGGTCGGCGATTCAAGTGGGCCATTGAGCTGAGCGGGCCGGGAGGCGGCAGCAGGTGAGGCCCGAGGGAAGCTCGGTATCAGCGCTTTACCCCCCAGAAAGCCTGAGTTCTCGGACTTGAGCCTCACAGGCCTAAGTTTCTCACAAGGGTGGTGACACACGTAACGGCGCTTGAGGAGGGGGCAGGCTTTCTGTAAAGATCCTTTTTTCCTAAAGAACTTTAGCCTTTCCAAAGGCAAGGGACTCACGAACCCATGAAGAGGGTCATCTGGGTAGCTACATCTGAGGATTATTCCTGTGATTGGTGGCGCAGGAAATGTGGGTTGTTAATTTGTTTTGATTCTTTAGGGGCCGAAGTGACCGTGGCAGCGGACAGGGAGACTCACTCTATCCAGTCGGTTACTTGGACAAGCAAGTGCCAGATACCAGCGTGCAAGAGACAGACCGGATCCTGGTGGAGAAGGTATAGAGGTATAGATGTTATTATAGCATTTGGGCCACTCTTTCCCCAGCTATTCCCAGGTAGCTATAACGACAGCTTTTACCTCAGTGTTGGGGAGCTAAACTGCTTGAAATTCGTAATATAGTATTTTACATATCAGTTGTAAAAGTGTTTAATAATTGAAAAAAATAAAGACATTTATTAGATATAAGGAGGTTGAAAAGGGAGGTTGGTGACGACACCCTCCAGTTTATCGTCCTTTTCTACTCTAGTTCCCTGACCTCTTACTTCAGTCTGTCAAGATATGCTTTCGATTTTATCTTTAAACCATCCCAAATCCTGCTATTATTTGTTGTCTTCACCCAATACATCATCCCAGCCTCAGCTATCATCCTATGCCAAGAGTTTTGCAGTAGGCCTTTCAAAATCGTCTACCATCAGTCTGTCCATCCAGTCATAATAAAGCATGGTTTCTCAACCTCCTTTCTTTCTCTGTTTTGGAACCAAGTACATCTTTGTTGTGGAGGACTGTACTGTGCACTGTAAAATATTTAGTATTCTTGATCTCTTCATTACTTATCAATAGTGTCTTTGGCCTCCCATAACTGTAAAAACTAAAAATATTTCCAGCATACCAAATATCTCCCAGGAGGCAAATTGCCCTTGCTTGGCATCCTCTAATCTTAAAAATTGTAATTTGATGAGCTTTAATCATGTATACCCCTCAAGAAACTACCACTGTTTCGAAAGAGAACCTATATTCAAACCCTTGCCCCAGTTGCTAAAATCCATTTCTGTAGAGAGTTCTCACTGGTCTTGCTACTGCTGCCTTGCCCTTTGTATTCTCACAGTACAACGGTCAGAATGATCCCTTTCAAACAAGTCAGATCATTGCTACTCAAAATCATTTTAGAATTTCATGTTCAAATGGGCATGGTGGCTCAAGCCTTTAATCCCAGCACTCAGGAGGCAGGTGAATCTGAGTTTGAGGCCAGCCTGGTCTACCTAGCAAGTTCCAGGCTAGCTGGGGCTTCATAGTAAGACCTTGCCTCCAGAAAATAAACAAGATCCATCTTCATTTAGCATAAAAGCCGAAGTCTTTTCTGCACCTTGTAGCATCTCTGGCCATATCGTCTACCATTTTTACACTTTTTGACTATTCATAATGGTTTCCTGGTTGCTCCTTAAAGATGCCAGACAAAGGGGCTGGAGAGATGGCTCAGTGGTTAAGAGCTGCTCTTACAGAGGACCCAGGTTTGGTTCCCAGCACCCACATGGCAGCTAACAACTGTCCATAACTACAGTTCCAGGGGATCCAACACCCTTTTCTGACCTCCGTGGGCATTGCATGACAGAGGTGCACTTACATACGTGCAGGCAATACATTCATACACATAAAAAATAATTTTTTTTTTTTTGTCTTTTTTGAGACGGGGTCTCCCTGTAGCCCCAGCTGTCTTGGAACTCACTAGGTAGACCAGGCTGGCTTAAAACAGAGATCTGCCTGCCTCTGCCTCCCAAGTGCTGAGATTAAAGGCATGCACCACCATGCCCAACATAAAATATTTTAAAATATTTTATGATGCCAAACAAGTTCCCATCCCACATTTTTATGTATTTTTCTCTATTCCTGGAATGTTCTTCCTCTAGATACTTTCACAACTTGCTTGCTCCTTCCTTTAGGGTCTCTCAAATGTTATTTTAAGCTTTCTCTCATGACATTCCTTATTGTGTTTCTTCCATATCATTTATATGTTATGAATATATCATATGGCAGTTATTCTGTTATTCAGTATCTGTCTTACCACACTCATAGGCTCTTATGAGGGCAGCAATTTTACAACAAAAATGTGTCTCAAGTGCTTAGAGTGTTGCTTCCCTGACATATTCTTTCCTTTTTATATTTTTCTCACATCCTTAATATTGCCAAATATATGATTTTTATTTCACAGACTGTATCCATTGTTTTTACAACATGAAAATGATAGAATTATGAGTCATTTTATTGATAAATATTATAACTTTTCATCTTGATTACGTTTATAGTAAGCTATTAATGGCATTTTGGGGCTTTTTTTTTTTTAAGGTAAGGTGTCTCTGTAGCCCCAGCTGGACCTAGAACTCTATGTAGACCAGGCTGGCCTTGATCTCAGAGATCTGCCTACTTCTGCCTCTCAAGTGCTGGGGTTAAAGTCATGCACCATGATATCCACCTAAATGGCATGATTTTTAAAAGGCAGATTATGAAATACTTCTTTTACAACAGTTCTGTTGTATGGTCTGTGTGAAATTATTTACAAATAAGGCAGTTTTTAATGTGAGTAAACCAAATAGTGATACATGTTTTAACATAATTTACTTTGTTAATATTAGGATTTTTAGATTTAGATTCATGAGTGAGATTGACTGGTATAAGTTTTTCTCATAATGGCATTATCTGGTTTTGGTATTTATGGGATTTATGAGTTGAATTAAAAAAGTTTTTTGTTTACTTTCTAGAGGAGTTTATGTACGATTAGCTTTATTTTGTCTTTAAATGGCTAGAATTTGCAAAAGGAAGCCATCTCAGCTTAATAATAGGTTCAGCTTCCTTAACTGTTATAGAAATGTTTTTGTTTCTTATTTCTTATGCCATTCCTATAAGAAATATTTCTAGGAATTTATTCAATTCCTAAAATAAAGTTTTTATATGGTCAGCTTAATATCAGCAGGATCTGTAAAGATGGTCCTTTTGTCCTTCTGGCTATTGAATAGTTTTCTCTCCTTTTTGATTCATCAGGCTTATCAGAATTTATAAATCTTTGCAGAGACATCTTTAGCTTTGTTGATTTTATATTATTAATTTCTGCTCATTTTTGTTTTCCTTGCAAAATCTTTAAGTTTGTTCAGCTTTGTAGCAACATGAAGTGATAGAACTGAGAAGTCAGCTCAGTCAAACTGAAGATTGGGAGTTCTTTTCATTTGATGTTAGCATCAGAAATAGAATAAATGTGAGGTGTAGTGATGATCAGAGGTTAAAACTGTTATGTTTGTTTTAGCGTTGCTGGGACATTGCCTTGGGTCCCCTCAAACAGATTCCCATGAATCTCTTCATCATGTACATGGCAGGCAATACCATCTCCATCTTCCCCACCATGATGGTGTGTATGATGGCTTGGCGACCCATTCAAGCACTTATGGCCATTTCAGCCAGTAAGTATTCTTTTTTTTTTTTCCATTTATTCTTTGTGTGTACGAATGTATTGCCTGCATGTATGTGCACCTGTGTCGTGCAATGTCCTTGGAGGCATTGGATCCCATGGAACTGGAGTTACAGATGGCTGTTAGCTGCCATGTGGATACTGGGAACCAAATCCAGGTCCTTTACAAGAGCAGTCAGTGCTCTTAACCACTGAGCCATCTCTCCAGGCCCCGCCAGTAAGTATTCTTAAAATAATAATCCTCCCTTGAGTTCTAAGAATTGAAGGCAAATCCATTGGTATAATTTTTGGCTAGAGGGTGTGCAATGAGGTGATGCTTGTAGTGTTAGCAAAGGAAAACAGTGCTTATCATAGTTTTCTGTTTACTTGTAGTACTACTGGTTGTAGTATTCTGTATGTATAAAAACATGGTTGATTACATTCATACTCTTGGGGGGGTGGGGGGAAGATTTTGACAGCTTCTGTTCTTCCCAACAGCTTTCAAGATGCTAGAGAGTTCAAGTCAGAAATTTCTTCAGGGTTTGGTCTATCTCATTGGGAACCTGATGGGTTTGGCATTGGCTGTTTACAAGTGCCAGTCTATGGGACTGTTGCCTACACATGCATCAGACTGGCTAGCCTTTATTGAGCCCCCTGAGGTAAGGCTAATGCAAAATTGAATTTCAGGCAATTGTAATATTCAGTGACTAGATGACTCATTTGATGGTAGAGTATTAGAACTGGTATTAAGAGTTCATTTCTAGCCTGGCGTGGTGGCGCACATCTTTAATCCCAGCACTTGGGAGGCAAAGACGGGAGGATCTCTGAGTTCAAAGCCAGCCTGGTCTATGTAGTGAGTTCTAGGCCAGCTGGGGGTAGAGAGAGACCCTGTCTCAAAAAAAAGAAAAACAAAACCCCAAAACAAAAAACAAAAACAAGAGTTTATTTCTGCCAGGCATGGGGGTACACACCTTTAATCCCAGCACTCAGGAAGCAGAGGCAGGCAGATGTCTGAGATCGAGGCCAGCCTGGTCTACAAAGCTGGTCTACAAGCTGGCTTTGGCTACAGGGAAACCTCTCAAAAAACCAAAACAACAAGTTTATTTAGTCTTTTTGAAACAGGGTCTTCCTGTAGCCCTAGCTGCCCTGGAACTCACTATGTAGACTAGGCTGGCCTTGAACTCACAGAGATCTGCCTGCCTCTGCCTCCCACATGCTGGGACTACAGGCGTACATCACCATGCCCAGCTAACAAGTTTATTTTTAAAAAACTTTATTTTTACATTAAATTTTTTTTTTTTTTTTTGTATGAATGTTTTACTTGCATGTGTCTAAGTGCACCCATGTTGTGCAGTGCCCTTGGAGGTCAGAAGATGGAGTGGGATCCCTTGGAACTGTAGTTACGAATGGTTGTTAGCTGCCATGTGGGTGCTGGAATTTGAACCCAGGTCCTCTGCAAGAGCAGCCAGTGCTCTTAACTGCTGAGCCATCTCTCCAGCCCCCTATTTTTTACATTTTAAAAAGTTGTTTCTTTGTGTGTGTGTGTTAAGGAACAACTTGCTTGAGTTGGTGCTCTCCTTCTATGTGGGTTCCAAGAATTGAACTCAGGTCATTTGGCTTGTCAACAGGTCCCTTACCCACTGAGCCATCTTGCTGGTTCAAGAGTTCATTTCTTAAATTATAAAAACATTAGGGGTTTAGAAGTTATAAGGGTATGTATGGCAAATAGAGTGTGTGATTAAGTGATTAAGGTGTTATTCAACACTCATTCACCACTCATGTCTTTACTGTTTCTTTCAGAGAATGGAGTTCAGTGGTGGAGGATTACTTCTGTGAACCTGAAAAGGCAGCACCTGGTGCCTAAGTATATGGGCCTCATTTACATCATGTTTAAGCCTAGTGGCTCCTAAGTATATACACTTTTAAAATAATCACTCATGCTGAAAGAACCAGAAGTTTGCTTTTCTTCATGGTGAGGAGACATCTTAGAAGGACAATGTGCATATTACTACAAAGAAACTATACTACAACTCCTGACTGAAAATAATGTAGAAAACTTTATTTATGTTTCCAGTACAGAGCAAAACAACAAAATCAGAACTCTATGTAAACAAAAGAATAGTAGCTGCTAAACCAAGGACTGTAGCAGCATTTCCTTTCAATAAATTAAATGGTTGAGAACAATGCTTTAAAAAAAGTTGCACAAGTTCCCCTTATATCTATTTTCTTTAATATTTCACTTCTATTTAGCATAAGCTGAGACAGAAATTCTATTGCAGACACTTTGGAAGCTTTGAGAAACTAATGCTGGATTCAAATTATACATGATGAAAAATAAACCAGAAAAAAAGGAGCATGTAAAATAAGCTTACAGTGTAACTTATTTTAATATCCACAATAAGGAATTTTTAACATCTAGGGGGAATGAGGACTGGTGGGATCCTTGGGGCCACAAGAAAAGGGAGGCAACGGAAGATAAAGAGCAGTGACCTTTCCCCTGCCAAGAGGAAGCTGGCACCTGTCAAGCAGACCCTACAGTTCAAACTCCAGCTTTTAAGATAGCTATGGAAGGCTAAGGGCCATTGGTGTGAGAATGTATATCATCATAACCTGCCCTGGTAAAGTCATAGGTAAGACATAAAAGCTGGATTGTATTCAAAAGGCAGGAGAAGGTCCTTTTTCTTCTCTTTTGAAACAGAGCCCGTTCTCCTAAGGTGCATTTTTCTCTCAGGTTTTTAGTATTGCTTTATGTGCAGTGATTAAGAGAGACAAAACACTTTGCAGACAGACAGCAAAAGCAACACATAGACATGAAATGCTCTAGACAGAGACAAGTATAAATCTGGCCTAATAACCATTTTTCCATGTAACAGTGATTGTGTGTTTTGGGGACCAAGGCAGTGGCTATATATTAATAGCCACTGATTTCTCTTACCCCTTTAAACGACTCATACAGAGCTCCAACAACAAACAGCTTTTCTAAAATTAATCTTATTTTCTGCCCATATTTGTCCTATATGGAAAAAATATATCATTTTGGCCAAGGATAAATGTAAATGTTGGGGAATTCCAGGGCAGGCTGACCTTTACAGATTGGGTGTTTTAAATCTTGGATCTTAGGGGACTATATACTCAGCTACACAATGGAATGTTGGAATGGGAGCTATAAACACAGTTTCTGCTCTTTGTAGGAAGGAGCAGAAAAAAGATTCAAGATCCTATTCACTTTACTACCTTGAGTGGGTCTGGGGGGATGGAAGCGGAAAAGGGGGAACAAATCAGTCTCTTAAGCCATATTGAAGGTGTTTCCACCACCCACCCACCCCACCCCCCGTCTCTGGGTTAAATGAATTCTTGGTGATTCAGATCCTATTGGGTAATGAAAGAAGAATGGCACTATCATTAATAAAGTTAATAAAGGGAAGTTTAATATATGCCGTGAATGTAAGCAATAAGATAGTTCCTTAAATAACTATCTTGTAAAGGAAATGGAAGATTTTTATATACTTTAAATTATTGCTCAGCCATAAAAGTTTCCCTATGCTGGTAATCCAGGTATTTGTGATCACTAAATTAGAAAATAAAAAGCTGAGCTTGCACAAGTATTTCTTTGGCACATTTAGAGCTTTCTGAAAACAAAAGGGGCATAGCAACAGACTTGGCTTGGTAACCACTTAGTTCAGAGCCAAGTTTTGCAGTCAGAATGAATAAAATTGAAAAACTCTGGGCATTTATATGAGTGCCTCAAGTCTTAACTATGGCTTTGGAGATGAGGTGAGGCCACAGATTTCTTGTGAAAGAACAGTTTGAACCAGGCCAATGCAAATCTTTCTGCCACTTGAAGCAGTTAAGAGTAGCAGATAATTTTGGCACTGTGGAAAGGGTATGGCTCCAGAACTTAAAATTCCACTGCTGAATTCCCCCTTTAAAAAGATGGCCCAGAGCTTTTAGAAAGTTAATTTAGCTAGTCTTCCTAGTGCTTCTTATGTTTTTGTTGTTGTTTGTTTTTGTTTTTAACTTGTGACAACTCGGGGTATAAAAAGAAAACGAGAACCTACTGGTGAATCTGCATGTCTTAGATAATATCTTGTATGCTTTATGTTGCATAGCTAACCACAGACTATATTTCTGCACATCTTACTAAGTACTCTGGAATTCCCTTAGTTCAGCCATTTGAAAGGAACTTGAAAGAAAATTTTTTACCTTGCAAAAAACAATAGTAACACTGTATCACAACCACAGAATGGGTTTTAAAAGAAAAACAGTTGAAATATATACTGACACAGTACAGATGTTAAAACTTGGTATTTGGGGAAATCTGATTTTTGAAGAAGTAGAGGCTGCAGCTTTGTCTCAGGTTTTGTACATTAGCATCCTGGGTTTCCATCTTGGCTTACCACAGACTATCTCCACAGTAATAATAGACACCCATAAACTTGGCCATTCATTCTTTACTACGGTGAGGCTGGCTGCCTGTTACCCCTCTGGTACCATCATTGAACCATGACTTCTGAGATTCATCTTGAATGTTGGATATGTCCTTGCATTTTGCTTTTAGTTGAATTTCTAACATCTTTTACCAAGTCACTTTTTTCAGCAGTGCCGAAAGTTTCCCCTTGGTTTTGCTTGTTAATTTGGATTGCCTTCTACTGGCATGGAAATGGCTTTTAGGACTTGACCGTTCTTTTGATGTTCATGGGATATTTGCTGCTTTTGTTTAGGATAGATCATATGGCAGCTGAGAGCATAATACTTGGGGCTCAGCTCAGCAAGAGTTTGGTGCAATGTGTGCAGAACACAGGCCTCTAGGAGAGTAGGAGTGGTAAGAAAGAGCTGTCATCTCCATGGACGATGGGAGCCTTTTAGCGAAAGGTGAGATCAAGCAGAATCTTTCAGAAGTAGATTATGAATAAATAGTGATCACTTCACTGCCACCACCCCGGACAAGGAGGACTCGTTCTAATCCCTCTGTGAGCACTTCTAGGAATTCCATGTCTTCAGAAGTTGTCAAGGAATAGGCAGGATAGTACACTCTACAACCTGGCATCAGTAAAATGAATTTATCTGATCACAGAACTGCAATTTCGGCATGCTTTTCTTAATAATTACATACTCAGAATAAGGAAGTTCACTCACTCACTCACTCACTCACCCACCCACCCATCAGTACCAGGAATTGAATCAAGGGCCTTGTGAATGCTAGGCAAACACCTTGCCTAGTGTGCAATATCACCAACTCTGATTTAAATTATTTTTGAGACAGGGTCTTACTAAGTTGCCCAGGCTGGTCTGGACCTTGCTATGGTATCCAGTTAAACCTTGAACTTGTGATTTTCCTGCCTCAGTCTCCTGAGTAGCTGAGATTACAAGCTTGTACCAGCAGGCCTGGCATTGGAATCAGTTGTAATCCTCTGATATCTAGGCCCTTTTACATATGTAATACAAGATGCTTTCATTTGTTGCTCCCCTTTCTCCCCCCAAGCACAAGAGATTGAACCTAGGGCCACTGAGCTATAGACCTAGGCCTCATTTATTTTCTAAATGTTATTTAAAAATGCGGGGCTGGGTGTGGTGGCACATGCCTGTAATCCCAGCACTTGGGCGGCAGAGGCAGGCGGATCTTTGTGAGTTCGAGGCCAGCCTGGTCTACATAGTAAGTTCCAGGACAGCTGAGAGGGTCTACAGGGAGACCCTCCTTCAAAAAGACCAAAAATAAATAAATAAATAAAAATGAGGGGCTGGAGCGATGGCTCAGGGGTTCAGAACACTGGCTGCTCTTGCAGAGGACCCAGGTTCAGTTCCCAGAACCTACATGGCGGCCAACAACTGTACCTCCAGTTTTGGGGGATTCGATGCCACCTTCTGACCTCCATAGGTTATTGCATAACATGGGTGCACTTATATACATGCAGACAATACACTCATACACATAAAAAACAAAAATTTAAAAATGGGTAAACTTGGGTCAGTTAGATCTAAGTTCAATCCCCGGATCCTTGGAACCAAAGGGAAAAGAGACTTAAATTTCAAAACTTTTCCTCTGACCTCCAAGTGTGCACCGCAGCACACGATGCCTACACTTATATGTATACACATACACTAATACATTCATTTTTATTTTATATGTATGAGTGTTTTGCTTGCATGTATGTAAGTGCACCCGTGTCATGCAAAGCCCTCGGAGGAGAAGGCATCAGATCCTCTGGAACTGGAGTTACAGATGGTTGTTAGTTACCATGTGGATGCTGGGACTTGAACCCAGGTCCTCTGGAAGAGAAGCTGGTGCTCTTAACCACTGAACCATTTCTCCAGCCCTAATACATTTTTTAAAAGTTTTTTTTGAGACAGTCTATATAGTTATAGCTGGCCTGGAACTTGCTGTGTAGGATCAGGCTGGAATTGAACTCAGTGATCTGCCTACCTCTGTCTCTTGAGTGCTGGGATTTAAAGCCAACATTCCTGGTGTAAATAAATTATTAGTGAAAAGGGAGCCAGCAAGGTGTCTTGGTGTAAAGGTACTTGCTGTGCAAGCCTGGACCTGAGTTTGAGCCCCAGAATCCATGGTGGAAGAAAGAATTGACTCACAAAGGTTGCCCTTTGATCTCCACATAAATGCCACGGAGTTCGTATGTACACACAAAAATGAAAAGAAGGGGAAACTCACAAGAAACATGTTAGACAAAAATGCCAAAAAATAAGGGCCATCAAAGGACAGCCTAAAAGATTCTTAGAGAACTCATAATTTCAAAAGTGAAGCTGCTCAAGTCATATTTTCATACCAATATTTTTTTTCACTAAAAACAAAACATTCCTTTTTCCCTTAATGGTGCTGCTAAGAATGTACCAGTCTATATCACTGCAGGGCTGAAAGGATCTCATAAAAATAATTCTGGGAAGAGGAAGAAGGGTTGTCTCTTTCACTTTGGTTAAAAGAGTTCCCATCTCAACTGTTTCTCTCCTAACTTCATCCAAAAGAAAGGGGCTTTGCAGACAAGGTAGATCCTGAAAAGGAGAAAGGTTTGCCATGGAATATTAGAAGTCATGTTGCAAACCAGGCATGATGGCATGTCTTTAATCCTAGCACTCAAGAGGCAGAGAGAGGTTGTTCACTGAGTTCAAAGTCACCCTGCTCCTACATAGTGTGTTCCAGGACAGCCAGGGCTACACAGTGAAACCTTGTCAAAAAAAAAAAAAAAAAAGTTATGTTGAAACTATACCAATTAAGGGTGTTAACGGAAATAGTTTTTTTTTTTTTTTTTTTTAAAAAAAAAAAAAAAAAAAAAAAAAAAAAAAAAAAAATAAAATTTTAAAAAAACCCCCCGGAAATAAAAAAAAAAAAAAAAAAAAAGTTATGTTGCAACTATACCAATTAAGTGTGTTAAAGGAGATAGTTAGCTCACAACTTTGGAAGAATCCTGCCTATGACATTAAACGCTTTTGTTACCTAGCTATATCATCTAATAAGCTAGGAAGATTTCACCTATTGGCAGTTTCACTCTTGGAAAGGATACAGTTTTCATCACCTTCAGGGTTTCGGGGTGGCCCTGGCATATTCAGCAAAACCAGCTTTGCTTCATGGGATTTATTAACTATAACCTCATTGAGCTTCACTGCTGTGTGCATCCGTCTCACATTGGACTGGTCCCTGGGTGGGGAAGAAACAGTTAAGGCAAAAAGAAACTAGTTTGAAATTTTGAAATCCAGTTTTTTCACTTGACTATGGATAATTTGATAATTTCTTTGATAGTAATACCTTGGGTTTTCTTATTCTTCAAAACAAAACTAAACAAAAACCACAACCTTTTAGCCAGGCATGGTGGTGCATGCCCTTAATCTCAGCACTCAGGAGGCAGAAGCAGGCAGATCTATGGGAGTTCAAGGCCAGCCTGGTCTACATAGTGAGTTCCAAGCCAGCAAGACCCTGTCTCAAAAAACAACTTTTAATACATTTTAGTGTGTGTGCGCGCATGCGTGTGCACGCATATCCTCTCATACCTCATACAAGGACAGAGGACAACTTTTGGGAGTTGGTTCTCTCCTTCTACAATGTGGGTCCTTCTGGGGATTGAACTCAGGTCCTCAGTCTTGGCAGGAAATGCTTGTACTGAGCCATCTCACTGGCCTGTTTTTCTCATTCTACATTTGCTTGTTTTATAAGTAAACAGTATGGAAATTAACTCTGTGCTGAGAAAAAGGATGGTTAACAAGTACATTGTTTAATTGGGAGTTAATCTGCATAGGCAAGAAATAGATGGCTATATGTGGGTAAAATAAACACACTTCATCCTATGTTGTTCAGGTAGAGTCTCATCTATGCCACTGCCTAGGATTACAGGCCTAATATGGTATGTTTGTGAGTGGGAATACTTACGGACGCATATTGAGTAGGTCCTGAAATCCTTCCATTGACTTGGCTTTTTGCCCCCGGGATGCCATGTATTTATCCTTTGTCCAAGTCATGTGCACCTTCTCCTGATAAGTTTCTGTCTCTTCATCCTCATCAGAGCCAATACTGGTTAATCGCAGCATTGAGTTTCGATCTTTCACCAGTTGTGCCTGAGGAATGTCAAACACCATTACTCTCCCTAATTTTTTTCTGATGCTTGAATTATTTTGAAGTAGCAGTGAGGTAGTACTGGGAGAACTGCTAGAGTGAGAAGAGAAGGATTTGTCTTTCTGTACTACTGTCAGACCTCACAGAACAGAATCAGGGCGGTGTAGCAAGGTCTCACCTCTCTGTCCCGCTCTGTTTTGGACAGTCGCATGTGCCGGAGCATCTGGGACCTCTGCTCCATCATCAGGGTGCGCTCATAAGTATAAGCTGATATGTCACTGTCATGCTGCCACAGACATCACAAAGTGAGCAGAAAGCACAAAGGAGAAAGAAGTATAAACCACACATTTTTATTTACATACATTGACTTAACTCAGAAAAACTCACAATATAAACATTTTGTCCTTATTTTATCCAGTCTTTGAGCTACAAGGGCACACTATTTTGGGGTTGCCCATAAATCTAGAGGCTCTTAGTTTTTTCTATGATCTAATCATTACATATTTCCTTGAGAAACAAAATGTGGTATAGTGTATAACTAGTTATGATTTTTTTTAACAATAAACATTAAGCAGCTAAGAATCTGGTTAAGTATAGAAATAAGAAATAAGAAAGCAAATAAAAAGCAACCCTGGAGCTAGCGAGATGGCTCGGTAGGTAAAGGTGATTGCTACCAAGATCAAGGACGTGAGTTTGATTACAGGGACTTACATGATAGGACAGAACTAACACCCACAAGTTCTCTGACCTCTAAACACATTTGTAAATGTGTAAGCATGCATGCAGGCATGCATGCAAAATAAAAACGTAAGTGAAATTTTTAAAAAAATTTAAAAACAAAAATAGCAATTCCAAACGCTTATGAATTCTAATTATTTAGGTCAACAAATTAGGGCTTTGTTAGGCTTGGGGGATGAATACAAATAATAGCTAGGTGGTCTCTTCTATCTCAAACTCTGCTTTCTTACCATCTCCACCACTTCCACTTCTGCTTCAATGCGCAGGTGGTAGAGGAAGGTGGCCAGGTCCTTCTTCATCTGGATACTGTTGTCTTCTAGTTGGGCTACCGTGAAGATCCGTATGCTGCACTTTCGCCACACCTGACAGAATGCCACACATGTGTGTAAGGAGGAAAAAAAGTGAGTTCCTAAAACACAAGACATTTGTATACCTGGAGAGTAGTACATGCCAATACAAGCAAAGGCATGAAAGCTCCATATGCCTTTCCCTATAGATCTCATCTGTATACTTTATATTTTTAATTATAAACCATCAAATGTAAGAAAGTGTTTCCTGAATTCTGTAGGCTCTCTAGTAAACTAATTGAACCCAAGAATGAAATACTAGGACTGTCTAGTAGAACTGAGCCCTCAACCTGCGGATATGTTGCTACCTCCAGATAGATACTGTCAGAACTGATTTAGAGGACACCAAGCTACTGTCTGCTGCAGGCATAGTTACTTGCTATGGGGAGGGAATGTGAATTTATCCTTACTCATGATCTATAACAGGGTGCTTTATCCATATAGTATATTAGTGATACCATATAAACCTACATAGAATGAGCACACACACACACACAAACACACACACACACACACATACATATGATATGCACAACACACACACACCGAGGCTTCCTTTAGAAGTCTTTGGCCTTTTTAAAAAATATATAAAAATATGTCCTCCCCCCCAAGGGCTCATATGGACCTTTATTAACTTGCTAAATTTCACTTGTTAGGTTGGTATGAAATATAAAGAAAATTACTCATAAGGTTGAAACAGATTGTGAGACATCTAAGAATAATCCCAGCTCTTCAGATGTTAAGCCCAACACTATATAATCAGAGAAAACTATGTCTAGTGAACCAGGACAGCAGGAAGGAAGGCTTTTTAAAAATGTGGTCCAGAATACCTTGTGCTGTTTCAGTAGGAATGGTAACAACATGAGCATCCCCCCATCATGCACAATCCACCACACATCAATGTTGCCCTCAGAAAATTGCTCCACGTTGCTGGGAAAGAAGGAGACATTTTTAGCCACCAGCAGGGCAAGATGGGCAGCAGTTGTCACACGAACAGTACCTAGAAAGAAAAGAGAGAATTGGGATAAGCAGAGAAGACTCCTTGGGCTTGCTTTGTTTCCCATCATTTTGGGAAAGGAGGGATAATGCTCATTCACATTACTTTTAATAAGGTGCTGTAGTAACACTGTACATTATACTTTACTAAGAGACAGAAGTCACCGAGAGAAGTCTAGATAGCTAAGAGAATTGGATTGAAAATCATGGTTAGATTACTAGGTACACTATAAATACATTTCTAGAGTGTGAGCTTGGGTGAATATGATGAAGGATAATCCTTCCAATTCCTGTGAGAATATCAATATGAAAAATCATAAATGAAAATGACAGTTTCAGAGGTAATTCCTAACATAAGAACTGGCATTAGATAACTAATTTGTGAATATAAATGTAAAGCTGGGAAGAGCAGGTAAAATCAGGTTATTACTAGCAGTTTTGTAGGTGGCCTTCTAGGCTTCAACAATGGCATGGAACCTAAGGTGAACTTAGGGTGACAAGAATTTAATGATATCCCTTATCTGAGCACTCAAGTTAGTACAAAAAAATGTTTTGTACCAATGAAGGTCTTCCAAGCACGAGCATCTTCACTCTGACGCCAGCCATTAGGCCAGCCCATCACCACTGTGTTGTGCTTCATGCCCCCAAGGCCACAGGACTGGATGAGGTGTGAGATGCCTTCCTTCAGCTTGGCAGCCACCACCAGCTGGCAGAAGCCTTTTACCTTCTCTGCCTCCATTAGGTGCTTAATGGTCTGAAAGAAATAACAAAACCTCAACAATGAACTGCTTTACCCTAAAACTTTTAACTCATCATTCCTTTTCCATATTCCCATCACTTTCCAAGTTCTATATTAAGACTCTTATCACCCACAGAAAGTTCCCAAAAGTTTAGAAGGTTTCAATGAAATGTCAGCTTTGCCTTTTTTCTAAGTGCTTACTCCCTATTTTCAAACCTATAACTGGTTGTCTTACATGTAGCTTCTCTCCCCTTTCCTCTGTTTTGCTTGTTTCCCTTGTAATGTCCAAAAAAGTATGTGACATAGTTTCTTGATTGACAAGGTCAGATCACTATGTGAACATGTCAACAGGATTCCTTTCCTTCCTTAGCCCTAGTCATGCCCTGACTTATCTTTTCAGAAACTCAATCTGATGACTCAGTTTCCCTTTAGGACTATATCAGGTAAGGTTTCCTTTTTGATTCTTTTGTTCTTATATCCTTTCTGACAGTCTGATTGTTGAAGATGCTTGCAGTTAGTTTACTCAAACTACCTTTAGTCAAGCTAACTTAGAGATATTATCTCATGTCTCATTTACTCTTACTCTGCTCTCGTTGGAAAGGGAAAGGGAATAATGGTGCATGAAATGAGCATTATTTTCCCAAAGACACAAATTAAATTGGTCCTAGCTGGGGTAAGAACCTTGATGGGCAACCATGTATTTTTTTATTATTATTAATTTCATTCTGGACTAATGTTTCTCAACATTTCTAGATTTTTTTTAAAAGTTCTATTTTTAATTGTGTGTGTGTGTGTGTGTGTGTTTGTGTGTGTTCATGTGCAAAGGTGCCTGTGGAGGTCAAAGGTGTTGGATCCCCTGGAGCTGGAGTTATAGGCAGCCATGTAGGTGTTGGGAACCAAACACTGGTCCTGTACAGAGCAATACGCACTCTCAACCATTGAGCCATGGCTCCAGCACAGCATTTCTAGTTTTTGAGAGTTTCTTAAAGTATTCCAAATGAAATCCAGTTAAAAAAATTTTTTTTCTATTTCATTTTATTCTGTTTGAGACAGGATCTTCCTGTAGCCCCAGATGATGTGGAACTCACCATGTAGGGTAGGCTGGCCCCAAACTCACAGAGATCTGCCTGCCCTCTGCCTCCTGGGTGAGCCACCACACCTTGCCTAGTAAAATTTCTTAAAAAGCAGTTGACAGTTTCTCCAAACCGGATTTTTTATCACTTAAAGTAAGTATTAGAGTGAAAATGACTTTTCTTCATACAGAATTATCATGTTCAGCACTGGTAATCAGAAATAGCAAACCGATTTTGTTTGCAGACTATAAATTGGTAAAAAGTCAAGTCACCCTTTGCTCTTGTATTTAGGAACCCTTCCCACAATTCCAAGATAATTTACACAGTTTCTCTCAGTTTCAGGTGACAGTTTGGAGTATAACTGGAAATAATGTTTAGCCTTGATAATCTTGATAATGCCTTAAATGGGCAAAACAGATATCTACTGGCTCCTTTTATTTGAGAGAGTATGACTGTTAAAAAGTCAGCATTAAGTGGAAAGTCCAAGTCACACAGGGAAGGGAGTAACTGAGATGCTGGAGGTCATCCTGCTTATTGGAAATTAGCTTACAACTGTGACATTAAGTCAATTTTTTTTTTGGTCTTTTTGAGACAAGGTCTCCCCGTAGCACCAGCTGTCCTGGAACTCACTATATAGATCAGGCTGGCCTTGAACTCACAGAGATCCGTCTGCCTCTGGGATTAAAGGCATGCGCCACCACGCCTGGCATTCTTTTTTTAAAAATATTATTGAACTTCATGTACAAAATCATTTGACAGAAACATTCTTTTAAATTGAACTTTTTTACATTTAGGGTACCATTCAAATGCTTTATTATATTCCATGATTTCCTTGAAAATCTGTTATCAAGGGTACACATAGAAAAACATTTTTTAAATTAATTTAAAAAATATTTTATTATTTTTATTTTATGTGTATGAGTACACTGCCTGTATGTTGGTAGGTGGACCCTTGTCATGCAGTGCCTGCAGAGGTCAGAAGAAGGTGTTGGATTCCTCTGGAACTGGAGTACAGATGGTTGTTAGTTGCCATGTGGATGCTAGGAACCAAACCCCAGTCTTCTGCAAGACCAGCCAGTACTCTTTAACTGCTGAACCATCTCTCCAGGCTCGAAAATTAATGCTTTGTGTGGATGAGTGTTTTGCCTGAATGTGAGTGCACAATGCCTGTGGAAGCCAGAAGAGGGCATCAGATTCCCTGAAACTGGAGTTATAGACAGAGACAGTTGTTGGTTGCCAGGTGGATGCTAGGAACTGAACCCAGGTCTTCTGCAAGAGCAGACATTGCTCTTAAACTGCTGAGCCATCTCTCTAGCCCCAGAAAAGCTTTTTAAAAATAAATATAGATTTTCCAGTTTTTCTTTTAAGATGCTGTAAAAAATTTACTGAACAGAAGTAATTTCATTACTATATGAGGAAGGAAATCAACTTTTTATGCACATGATTCCTTCTTTTAAGCATTGACCGTATTGTGCTTAAGAAATGCAGAGAGGTGGCGCTGGAGGCATTAGTACCAGCACTTGGGAGGCGGAGGCAGGCGGATTTTTGTGAGTTGAGGCCAGCCTGGTCTACATAGTGAGTTCCAGGACAGCTGGGGCTACAGGGAGACCCTGTCTCAAAATGACAAAAAAAAAGAAAAAGAAATGCAGATCAATAAACCTTGACTCTTACCTGCTCAGCAGCTAAAGCTTCACCATAGTTCTCTAGAAAGTTCCCCACAATGACAGAGCCCACAATAGTGAGACCCTTTCCTGCTTTGAGCTGTGAGGCAAAGGTAAGGAGGCGAGGATGCTTGACATGTAAATCTTCATCCAGTTTCAGCAACACAAGCAACTGAGGCCTGTACAGAGGTTAGGGAGAAAACACTTTGGATTTGGAAATACAATGACAATTTCATCCTTTAATTCAGGAGATCCTAATAAAATGGTTAATCTGACAGAAGGAAGAGATCAGAGGAATGATAAGAGGGTTCTAAGTTATTTTGAATGTTCTCAGTATTATCTCAAAGTGACCAGTCTTCAAATAACAATAAATGCTAAAAATCTAGATCACTGCATGAAGAAAAGGCAATATGGATTTGGAATTGTTCAAAACACAACCAGTTCCTCAAGCCACTTGATTTCTTTATCTTGTAATCAACAAAGTACAGTCCTGTGTGTTAACTATGTTCCAAATGTCACAAAGCTCTGTTGATTTCTTTACCTCCAGTTTTTAGTGTGAGGAGGTCCTTCTTCTAGCCGGAGCAAAGCAAACCGGGCTGCACTAAGTGACAGCCCACGGATGCCATCACCCCATTCTTTCTCAGCTCTGGGAGAAAAAGGAGAAAAGAGATTAGACTAGATTTAAATTATAGTAAGAATAAGTTCAAAAATTAAAGTTCATTTTTTTCAGAATGTAACAGGGTATAAAACTAGAATTCATAGTAATGATTTACATACTGTTCTTTTACTTGCATGAACCCACTCACTGTGAGCAGATCACCACCACCCTAAAACACAAATGTTCTACAAATTACCTGTAATTGTGATCCTGAAAATAATGGAAAATAAAATCCAAAGTGCTTTTCTGAATCAGAATATTATCCCTACTTTCAGGAACTGTTATGAGGTCTTAGTTGTTACTAAATTATTTACCATTAATTTAATTTCACAGATAATCCCTTGATTGAAAAGATTAGCTAAGCTGTTTAAATGTGTGTTATACTTAAAAAAAAATTTTTTTGGTCATTTTGAGACAGGGTCTCCCTGTAGCTCCAGCTGTCCTGGAACTCACTATGTAGACCAGGCTGGCCTTGAACTTACAGAGAGCAGCCTGCCTCTGCCTCCCGAGTGCTGGGATTAAAGGCGTGTACCACCACGCCCGGCTTAAAAAATATTTTTATTTATGTGTGTTTGTGTGTCTGTGTGTGGGTATGCTCAGGTGCATTCAGGTACCTGTGGAGACCAGAAAGGGTGTCAGATTCCCTAGAGCTGGAGGTACAGGCAGGCAGTTATGAGTTGCCTGAAATGGGTGCTGGGAACTGAACTTGGGTTCTCTGGAAGAGCAGCAAGTGCTCTTAACTGATGAGCCATCTCTCCAGACCTATGTTACTTTTTTCTTTTTCTTTTTTTCTTTTTTTTATTTTCAGACTGAATCTTTGTATGTAGCTCAGGTAGCCTTTGAATTTACAATCCTCCTGCCTCAGCCTTCTGGGTGCTGAAACTGTAGGGGTATATTGCCATGTATGGGCAAACTAGCTGTTCTTGATGCTCTTAGCAGTGATCAAGGTAAAATTCCTACTCACCCTTGGTACTCAATGTATTTGTAGATCATACCAGCTATTACCATAGCTACAATGGCATAATACCAAGAAGAAATGAACATCAGAGCCAGACAGATACTCATTCCCATGAAAGAGAGGGCCCTAGAACAAAACATAAACAAAGAAATGTCTTTCTAAGCAGTAAGGAAAGACACCAGTGTTAGGGGTGCTTCTCAAACTGTGGTGGGGAGTTATTTTTTTGTTTTTTGTTTTTAATTTTCAGGTGCTCATAGAACTTATGTAAAATGTAATGAAAATAATAATAAGAAAAATCATCATATGCCCTGCATGTTGTAGCAATGGTTCTTTCTTTTCTTCTTTTTGGTGCTGGGGCTCATATCCAAGGCCTTGCATATGGTAGAAAAGTATTCTGAGTGATCCCCCTACCCCGAAGCTCATAGGGCAATGCTGTATTGCTATAAAAATTTCTAAGTACTTACTTTGTTTTTATGTTTTTTGTTTTTGTGTGTGTGAACTGGCAACAAATAGTCAATAAGTCTAAACCGAGCCCCAAGCACTTTTCATAATAGAGGATGTTTCCTGTTGCTATAAAAACATGAACTTACAAACAATGATGCTACAGTGCTATCAGTGCAATTATACAGTGCAATTACAGTGCAATTATAAAGGATGATTAATATTTATTTGGAAAAGCAGGGATTGAATATAGGCAGAAATCTTAATAATCTTTTGATATTAAATTTTCTTGTATAAATATTCCTTAAAATTTTATGGGCATTAAATTACCATAACTGCAGAAACCACTAGGAAAAATCTGCTATTAATTTTCTTTTATAGTATTTGAGAGAAACTGGTAGAGAGTGCTTGTTTTGAGCAAATAAAATATGTAGACACTATGTTTAATGGAGTTCTTTTGTTTGTAGAATGCTCTTTCTAGCTTTGTAAATAGGAGAATTGTTAATTTGGAGATTAAGATATGATACAAAAGAAAAAGAAAAAATAGAGATGAAATAACACCAAAAATGTTCATCATTAGGGTTTTTTTTTTTGTCTTTTTTGAGACAGGATCTCTTTGTAGCCCCAGCTGTCCTGGAACTCACTACGTAGACCAGGCTGGCCTTGAACTCACAAAGATCCGCCTACCTCTGCCTCCCAAGTGCTGGGATTAAAGGCGTGTGCCACCACACCTGGCCCTTATCATTAGTTTTTAACTAATGTTAAAGCTAAAAAAAGGCTCAGAGGTGTTAAAACCAGTTGAAGGTGTAAATTTTTGCCACAAAAATGTCATACCACTGTCCACCATTGGTAAGTGAAGCCAGGAAAGAATTAAAGGAAATTAGCAAAGACAGTCACAGCAACAGGTACACATGAACACACGGAAAAACACGAATGAACATAGAAACATAGGAAAGAGATTTGACAGTAGCCAGACTGTAGCAGCATTTCACTGGGTGCTTTACTGTGTACCAGCAGCTGTAAAATACACACTTCAGATTTATCACTCCTCTTTTACAAACTAGTAAAATGAGATTTCACATGGTTATACGTTGATGAAGATTAGAGAGCTAGAAAGCAGTCAGGCTGAGAGCTAAGGGTTGTCTAACTCCATAGCCTGCACTTAACTACTAAATGAAATTCTGGTAAGAGTGTGAGAGTGAAAACTAATGAGAAAAAAAAAGGAAAGATAAAGAGAGATGAAATCCAGTGCTTGGCTAAGAAGGAAATGGGAAAACATATTCAAAGGGAAGATTTTGACCCGAAGAATTATGCAGCCTATAAATATGTACTTTACAGTTCTGTGGATGCTACACATTATTATAAAGTGATACACTTAAGACAGAATAGGAGCGTAGGTACTCAGGTGATAACTGAACATTAAAGTAACAGTATAGCATGACTACCTATTTTAAAAAAAACCTAAAATCTCTTAGATTTCTAGGAAGATGATGATGATGATGAAGAAGAGACTTACCAGTGATAATAGCGGAACCGAGGCCTCCAGTTGGGTGTTCGAAGTAATGTCTGCAAGGCACATGCCAGGTTCACAAAGAGGTAACACATGAGAAAAAACCTGGAGGAATGAAAACAGTAAGAGGAATTATTATAATTCTCTGAGGATTATTTTAAATAACCGGAGACCTTTGCTGTACTGAAGCCTATTTATAGACCCACCCCTTTATTAAGTTGGAAGTGAAGAAACTTAAACTTTTTTTCACAACCTGTTAACCTCTTGTGTTCTCTCTCAGCTGATGGCACAATCATATACTTTACCCAGTTGCTCAGGACTAATTCATATTTCTGCTTCCTTACTAATTCTCACTGCTAATTCACTTACCAAGTCCTGTGCTTCTGCCTATTCCAGAATCCCCAAACTTTTCTTCATTTTCATTTCTACCTCTGCACCTTAGCTTGGGATTTCATTCTTTTCCCCCAATTATTTGTGATTTCAGCTTTATTTTATTCTTCTAGTCTATTTTTAAAAAATATTTTATTATTTTTATTTAATGTGTATGCGTGTATTGCCTGCTTGTAGGTAAGTGCACCCGTGTCATGCAATGCCCGCGGAGGACAGAAGAGGCTATTGGATCCCCTGGGACTGGAGTTACAGATAGTTGTCAGCTGCCATGTGGGTGCTGGGATTTGAACCTGGGTCTTCTGCAAGAACAACCAGTGTTCTTAACCACTGAGCCATCTCTCCAGTCCCTCTAGCCTATCTTTTATACTAATGATCGTTTTGTTTTCCAAGGATACTCTTTCTTAGTTCCAGGTCCTTTGGGATCTGGTTGTACTTCTCCAGTCTGGTAACTCCAACACATACTCCTCACAGCTGAGGCCAAATACCTTCAGTTCTCTGGTTATGCTACATTATTTCATTTCTCAGTTCCTTAATTCACATTGCCAGCCTAGATCATTCTTTGACCACTTGTCCTTTGCTGAGCAAATAATCCGTTATCCTTCATGGTACAAGTGTTAGTGCCTACAGAAAATACTTTCTGCTTCCCAGTTTAGGTGCTTTGTTTTTGTGTCAGTGGCACCCAGTGTTCACCTTTACCACTCTTATTTGTTGCACTCTATAGCGGATCTTTGGTTTCCTTAATTATTATCAGTTCCTTGAGACTGTATGTCTAAACATTTATATAGTCTCACTAATTTACAGTGTCAGGTAGATAGCAGTCATCAGTAAGTCACAGGTGAGCGAACAGAAGTTAACAGTACAACTGAAGGATAATGAATCATAACATAAAACACATGGACTAGAGGACAGTTCAATGTTAGAGAGCTTGCCTACTGCAGACAAGGCCCTGGGTTCAAATCCAAGCATTATTTAAAAAATATAAGAAACAAGAGAAAGGAGAAGGAAGAAGCAAGAAACTTTTGAAGTTATATAGGTAGGACCCTACCCCCACCCCCGCCCCACATAAAATCACAGTCATTTAAAAAAGTTAGCCTGACCAATGAATTGAACAATTTTCAGAAAAATTTAAAAAAATCCAAAAACTATTTTTAAAAGTGTTTAAGCTGGGCATGGTGGCGTACATCTTTAATCCCAGCATCTGGGAGGCTGAGGCAGGTGGATCTCTGTGAGATAGAGGTCGGCCTGCTCTATAAGTGAGTTCCATGCCAATGGGGCTATAGGGGGATCCTGTATCAAAAAACAAAACAAAGTGTTGAACATCCCTAGTCATAAGGGAAATGCAGATGAAAACTACTTTGAGATACCACCTTATTCTGATCAGAATGGCTATTATCAATGTTTGAGGGGATGTGGAGAAAGAGGAACCCATTGCTGGCGGGAGTGCAAATTAGTATAGTCATTATGGAAACCAGTTTGAAGGTTCCTCAAAATATTAGAAATATAACTACCATGTTAGGTGTGGTGGCACACGCCTTTAATCCCAGCACTCCAGAGACAGAGGTAGATGGATCTCTGAATTCAAGGCCAGCCTGGTCTATATAGCAAGTTCCAGGCCAGTTGGGGTAACAGGGAGACCCTGCCATATATATATATGACTACCATATGACCTAACTATCTTACTCCTGGGCATATACCCAGAGAACTCCATCTCTTACTATAGAGATATTTGTAGCCCAATGTTTACTGCTACTCTATTTACAATAGCAAGGAAATTAAACCAACCTAGTTGTCCATCAACAGATGAATGGATAATGAAAAATCTGGTACATATTTAAAATGGAATATTATTCAGCTCTAAAGAAAAATGAAATCACAAAATGCACAGGAAAACAGATGGACCTAGAAGGTCCATACCTTAATGTCATGACATTAAGTGAGCTCATCCAATCTCAGAAAGAAAGAAAAATAACACATTTTCTCCCTCATATGTA